CTATTGGAGGTAATCTTTCTTCAATGACCTTAAACTACGATATTAATTTGATACTCTTATTATTTCATAAATATGAATTTTAACAGTTCCAAATATTCTTACTAATACCTGAATCTAGTCTCAAAAGATCTGTTAACTTGTTTGGACTCTTTGATATCATTGTTTCATTTAAAATATTAGCTTTCAATTTTGATTGGTAAAATTTTGAGATTTTTCTAAATTATATTATTGGCTTTGCTATAGTTATCTAATCCTGCAATTTTTTTAATAATACTTTGCAGTGATGCGCGTACTGTGAATAATACGGGATAAGTTAGCGTAGGTGGCAATATTAAATTACAATAGGATAGATTTTTGATTTTATTAGAAGACCATATCCATGAATAATGTATATTTTTTTTAAATGTATATATATTTAATGAAAGAACTTTTAAAAAGAAAGTGGGGCTTAAAGACCCATGTATAGATAGATAGACAGTAGGATAGGCCAATTTCGATCGATATTCTCGCATGTAAAAGCCCTTTTAGGTCACTTGTGATTAAAATGTAACTCTTGCCCTATAGTTTTGAATATTTAATGTGCTTGGTTTCCAAATGATAAACTCTGAAATTATCGGAACGAGCAAAAGATTATTTAGATGGCTATATTTAGTTATCTTTATGTTTTCTGATCTCATGATGGAGTTTACAGAAAGAAATGATCTACATAAGTATAAACCCAAGCGAGGGTGATACCATGGTTTGAGGGGGCTAGGGTCATCCCATCATGTCTGGTTTATTGTCGAGGCTCGAGTCAGAGTGTTCCAGCATAGAAAGAATAATTATTGATTTCGAGATTCTATTGATGAATTGAATTGATGGCATAGTGTCTCAATAATCTACCTTTTTAAAAACAACAGTGTAGAAGGTGGTGGCCCTGATTATTGATATGGGTTTCACAGAAGACACATAATCTATATATTTGATTTAATTTCGAAATTTAAATTTATATTTCGAAATGATTTTGTATACCAAATTGTCACCAACTATTTCCATGGGACAAAATGAGACAGATTATAATAAAGTAATTTCCCTATAAAATTATATTATGTAATTTTCTTTTCCCATACCTGCAAAATATTTTGAACTTATTAAAAAAATTAATATAGGATTTAAATTTAGATAAATAAAATGTAGAAGGATAATATCTTATCTTATCTTATCTATTGAATCAAACAGCATTCAACCTAAAAATATATCTTATTTGCTTTATATGTAGAATGTCCACGCCTAAAATTTTAGAAAGATTAAAAGATATCTCAAAACGTTTGGTGTATTCCAAAAGACTTCATCTAATAAATAAAAATTTATTTTGAACTAATTTTATTAACCCTATAGCATCAGGTTCAGGAATCTCTTAAAAATTGGCAGATTTAAGACATCAATTTTATGATTGATATAAAATTCAGTTTTTAATTATATAGGTCTCATGCGAATATCTTCCTTGACACTAGAATCTTAATAAACTTTATTTTCCCCCCAAATGTAAATGAAAATTTTGGACGTAAAGTAAAATAAAATAATGATTAAAAGATGGAATATCTATTAATATTAATTTTTTTTTTCCTAACAAAAAAGGAACTTAATGAAACGGAAATAATTTTTAAGGGAACTTTGACCTTGTTAAATTAATTTCTCTAAAAAAAACCAAATATATATTAGCATTTGGCACAAAAATTTTGGTCATGAAGTAGTAACGATTGTTAAAAGGTATAAGTGAGAGAGGCTGGCCCGATTAATTAAATGTAGGCCCGGCCCATTACACTGAGAAAAATATATATGTCCGATTGAATTTGACAATTTAAAAATCAAAATTGGAAATAGAATAGTAAAATTTGGAAAAATAATAACGCATGACACTCAATTATATGTATTTATTCAAAAAATAAAGATTAAATGGGTTTAAATCTTTGCTTACACTTTGGAATCTCATATGTTTTTTTTTTCGAAAACGAATTTGATAAAAGCGATTCTTGGCAAGGAATATGATTGTTCTATACTGATAAATATTTTTTCAATTTATTTTTTATAAATAATGGGAATAAACTTTTTACTAGCCAACACCCGAAGAAAGTTACAGATAATGCGAAATATGTTACAAACAGGATAATAAAGACAGAATTTATCAACTATGGTTCGTGTACCAGATTATACATCTGACGATAGATAATGTCATGTTTTAAAAAGCTCTCTAGCCAAAGTTTGATATGATGAATATAATAATTATGCATAATATATATTTCAAAGATGTTGCATTTTTTAAAATATAAATATGTTACGTTCATGAAAGAAAAAGAAGAACAGATTGGGAGCTAATCCTAGCACTACCATCCAATCCATTGCCTCCATGCGCTTTTTCATTTCCATCAATTGGAAGGTAACAAAATAATTAGCATGTTCTTTAATAAAATATTCAAATATGTAAACGTTATGGTTCATTTTTTTAAATGATATAGGTATGGCTCAGTGGGCTCAGACCTGTACTGACGTCCTAAAATTAAAAGTTTGAGCCCTGCATTAGGAGAAAAAAGTTAAAGTCAGTATTCTTTTTCGAAAACGAATTTGATATATGCGTAATTCCACCCGTCAAATCAAAATGATAACTGGGGTTGCTGCAAAATATCTATTTAATTTATATTATAATTAGAGGGGGGGAGGGAGGATATATTTAACGCCTGATATAATGACACATAATATTTAATATGACTTGTTTGTATTACTATATTATTTTGAAAAAAAAGTTTGTAAATATTTGATAATCTTGGCTCCAAATTTATTTATAAACAATATATCGTCTAAATTTATAATTGATTTATTTGATTTGGAATTATATTTAGATTTATAAGAGGGTATTGTATTGAACAAGGTGATTCAGTAATTTACCTTCCAATAATTATATTTTGAAGTTTAACATTTTATATTGAAGACTATTATATATATATATACAGTTTTTAAAATTTAATTAATAAATTACTAAAATAATCAATGTTTTTTGGGCCAAAGTTTTATTAGTAAAAATTATCATTTAGAGACTGTTGTTATGACCAAATTGATCGCTATCTATTAACTAATCGCGATCTATTAAATAAAAGATTTTTTTTTATTCTTTATTTTAAATTAACTTTAACCTCGAGGACTCGTTTTAAAAAATTAACTTAATAATTCGACATAAATTACTTGATAGATTTTGTAAACTATATAAACTTAGAAAATTATTGTACTTACCAGTTAAAAAATATTTTTAAAATAAATTTATTTAATAGAGTTAAATGTCTGTTTCTCGTTTTTTGCCAACCTTAATAGAGACTAAATGAACTACATAATTTGGCACAAATAAAATACCTACTATTTTTATTAACTCGCTAGCTTACTATATCATTAATTACATTATATTCAAATTAATAAGAAGAACATTATCAACGCATTAATATTTTATTATGAGTGTATATATAAATAAAATGTATTATTACAATATATCATTACATAACGTGATATCATTATATAATAAATTTGATATAATCATTATGGATTCTAAGAAACCGAAAGGCTAATCATTATAATAAAAAATATCAAAAATACATTTTAATATTGATTTTTGAAAGAAACATTAATTAAAATCATTATAATTGAAATCATATCGCATTAGTTGTTTTTTTAATTGCAGATTAAAAACAATATAACATCATTATATGAAAAATATCCAAATATTAAGCTTTAATTTCTGTATAAATATTTATACATACATAAATCATTATAATAAACAAACATTAAAATGGTTTATATATAATTTGTGATATAAAACATATGTATAAACCATAATCATTAGAAATGAAAAAATATGAAAATATTAGTGTTGTAATCATTTGTTCAAATCATTATAAGAAAATAAAAATATTAGAATTTCTGAAGAAATAAATTTCTAAAATCATTATTAAAATTATCATTATCGTTTTGCGTAGAATTGACTAAATAAATAAGTTTATCAAAGCTACCACCATCCCTGTGCATCCAATCCTTAGAAGCATTTACCAGAAAACTCGGAATTCAGACTTTATCGCTATAATTGAAGATTTAATGATATAAAATATAAAGGTCATAAGTGGGCATGTGTTACTTTTTTACTAAATCAAAATATAAATAAATGACTATAAATTCTTTTTATATATCACATCTATAATATCTTCATATAATAAGAAATTACCAGAAACATAAAGAATATTAAATGGCGTTCAATAAATATCATTTTAAATTTCGATAAGTAATGAATATATTAGTGATAAATTGTTTGAAAAATATTGTATTGACAGTGCGGGTGTTGACTGGCCAAAAAATGTTCTAATTAAAAAACTATAAGATATAGCCTAGATTTTAATTTTATTTAATACATTAATGTTTTGGATACACATTCCTCATATTAAATTTATTTGATTAAAAGCTGTCTTTAAATCTAGCTAATCTATCTCTCTCAAAAACATGGCCCTTATTCACGAACTGTCATAATAAACATTTTAAACTATTCTATCATATGGAATCACTTTAAAAATATTTTAACTAGATAATATTCCCTCTATTTTGATGAGTAGAAAACTCTACTTCTTCATCTTATTTTTAATTATTTTTGTTGATATTTTTATATGTATTTTGTAACCATATACACAGTTAGCTTACCGAACTTCCCAAAGTAATTAAAAAACTATTGGTCATAAAAGAACTATAGAAGTAACATTTTTTTATGACTTCAATACTGATAAATTTTTCTGAATATAGATTTACTCGAGTTTTCTGGTCATCACTCTAACTAGCGTGGACAAAGGCCGGTCCTAGGGTGGAAGTATAGGTTTGTAAGGTGGTTGCACTCTCCTGGCTTCGAGCTATAATATAAAATGGAATAGGTTATTATGTCTATTTATATCTTCCAGAAATGTGTGATGCATAAAATAGAAGTAACTGTAAAAGAAATTCTATTTAAAAGAGTTTAGAGATATTTTTGTTACCAGTTTCCAATCGATGGAACTGAAGAAGCGCAGGGAGGCAATGGATTGGATAGTGGTGCTGGGATTGGATCCCAGCCTGTTCTTCATTTTCTATAATGAATGTAATATATTTATATTTTAAAAAATGCATGCATAATTATTATATTCATTATATCAAACTTTGGCTAGAAATTTCTGCAAAACTTGGCAAGCCTCATCAGATATTGAATCTGGAATACGGACTATTGCTTTTTTACCTATTAATCCTATTATAAAATAAAGTATTGTTTTAATTTTATAATTTATAATAATGGTAAATTTGATAAAATTTATTAAGGTTGTATTTAAATTAACGACAAAAATTGGGGTGGCCAAGGCTCTCTCTATCAGCGGGAGACTTCCGCGATTTTTTGGAAAACACGCACAGACCTCCCTTAAGCAAAACTCCCGTAATTAAAAATAATCTTTAATTTTGAGATTCCTCCTTCAAAAACAAAAACTTTAATTTCTACCACAATTTGAAATATTGACCATGTAACCCCGGTCTAACATTATCTTATTTAAAAGCTTTTGCATTGATTTTTTGTAAATATGATTTTAAAATGATATATAAGATAATTTTTTTTAAATTTATTACTAAATTTCCTTTAGTTGACATAAATGGACTTAACAGCTGATCGAGTTTTATATAATCTTTTAAAATGGGAACTATTTTTTGAAATTAATATTAATTTATAAATTCAGCCTTACTATCCAGTTTATAGAATATTTTGCACTTATATGCACTGGGTGTTAAGTAGACCAGTAAAAATTTTGTTCCCATTATTTATAAGAAATAAAGTGTTAGTAGAAAACAAACTGATACTTTGCCAAGGATTTCGCTTTAGAGGCAAATCGAAAGGCTTTCGTCCTGTAAGCATTTTATACATGGTTACTCCAAGAGCCCAGATATCAACCCTAAAATCTTTCATGTTTTTTTATTATTTAAATATAAAATATACATTGCGATCATTTTGAATATGTTTAGGAGACGTAAGTAGTTCAGGGACAATTTTTGTTCCAATCTAAATAAATTCTATATATTAAACCTATGTGGATAAAATATGAATTCCAAAGTATACGCTACTTAAAATAATTATTAGTTTATAAATTCTAAATTAATTTGTAGAAAAATTGATTCTTGGTCTGAATATACCTTTTGACATGGAGTGGTATATTAGGGATGGGTATTAAAGCTCCGGCGAATTTAATTATGATTATTACCTTTTCCACATATTGTGAAGTGATTGAATCCAAAATAAAATTATTTACGTGTTATAAAAATTAAAAATAAAAGTCAAATATCTTTTTCATATATTTTTTTATAGTTTCGCTAAATAAACACCAACAAAACATCCTATCATTTTTATAAATATGCCTTTAAAATTGCAGTTACCAATATGCCTTATAATTTTTTAAAAAAATTGTCGTATTTAAAATATAAGATTTAAACTTTCCTTAATTCTATACACACAATTCGCTATATCTTAATTTGAATTTCTACATCTCATTAAAAAATATCTTGGAAATAAATATGAGGCCTATGTATCTCTATTCAAAGTGCTCTAATTTCCTATGTCGAAACAATCATAGGTTTGCCTACGATAATCAAGAAAACGTTCGAATTGGTTATTGTAATATTGACTATATTATAAAGGAAAATAAACACAAGAAACAGTGATTTTAAGAATAACAAAAAAAATTAATACATCCCTCTATAATGTTAAATATGTAACATTATTTGTAAAGTAATAATAAAAAAACGAAATAAAATATTTATTGAATTATGGGAGATAAAAAATCAAAAAATATTTACCATAACTTTTACCCCGCCAGATTTCAGGCGCTACATAGTCCAGTGTACCCACCCTCTCTTTGGTTTTTTCGCCGTAACTTAATTGCAAAGACCGTAATCTGTTATTCGTATATGGCCATCCTTGTCTAGCATAACATTCTCCGGTTTGAGGACTCTATGGATGATCCCTGAAATATAAAATAAAAATATAATACAAATTTTGTTGGTATGTATATGAAGCCAACATTTTTATTTGCTAAAAAAATAACTTAATCAAGAATTTGTATAAACTGGCAATTTAAAATTAAATACATATTTTCCCGAAAATGTAAAACCTTTGGAATGTAGAAATGATACGCCTAAGACCAGTTCCGCTATATAGAATTTAGCGGACTCTTCTGGAATTCTACCCAAATATTTTATAAGATTATCCAAATCTCCACCGCATGCGTAATCCATAGCTATGATGTAACTACAATATTACAATTTACGATAAAATTTTAAGTATTATTTTTGTTAAAACTAATTTAAAAAATGCCTTATCTATTCCTGTCTCATCCTCATAAATTTATATCCTAAATAATTTAATAATTAACAAAAAAGTAAATTTACTTATTGGGGGTTTGGAAACAGGCATGGTAGCCGATAAGAAAATTTTGGTTTGTCGCAATTTTGAGAACTTCCTTTTCATTTTCGTACAAATCAAATGCCTTAAACAAATAGCAGTAAGATCAAGATGAATTAAAATATAAGTTATTTGACAAAATTGGAAAATAAACATTCAACAAATAAAAATTATGATTCCAAGTTAGGTGACTTAGAACAAGAATGCCACATTTTTCTTGGAAAACGATATTCACAAGATATGGTCTTTCCAGGCTCGCCAAAAAATTCTTTGCATTCGGGTGAGTAGCACACCTAGTGAAAGAGTTTTCTCTACCGCTGGATTGACGTTAAATTCAAGGGGATGATTATTGTCCCAAAAATTTAAATAAAATAATTTTTATACATGATAATTATAAAATTACGAAATCGATTTTTGGTTCATAATGAGTTTTCTCTTAAATAAATTTACAAAATATGCCGAGATATCGAGTAGTGTATATTCGTTTTTTAAAAAATAATAAGCAATTAAAAAAATTTATAACTGCGCCGATTATCGCCGATAGTTTCGTCGGCGCGCAGGTCTATATATAATTAATTCATATTAGGCTTCGATTCATTTCACCTAATTCATTTTGAAAGTAATTTTGCCTTTTGCTTTTTTTTGCATCTCTAATATATTATTCATTCTAGCTAACATATAACAGAAAAGAATGAAGAGAGTAAAACAATATAAACCTTGACCGAGTTTTTTTTCAGGAATTTAAAGGCATACAATTTTTTAGTTTCGTTTTGTTCAGCCAAAACCATTTGGCCAAACCCTCCTTCGCCTAAGACCCTTATCATTTTATAATCAGAGAACTTCTTCCATTTACTAAAATATAATTATTTTTACATAATATAGGATTATAAATTTTGAATTATTTTCCATCCATTTCTTTATTTACTTGTCATCCACTTGACTTAAAGTCTTGTGGCACATTTCCACACGATACTTCATTGATAACCTCATCAACAATAACATCATACGCACCCTAGCATCTTTAGCATCCTTCAGTCGGTACGTCTTCCCCGCATCTCTTTACCTTTTTCTTTTCCAACTGCCCTTGCAGCAGAACCAATCTAAAAACTTTACAAATTTTCCTTTTTTTTCGTTCTCTAAAATTGTATAATAAATTATAAACATCGATACAATGAAACTTTACTCTGCTGCGGGCAGTTGTTACTTTTATTATCCTTCTTTGATTTTTTCATATTTGCAAGTAATTTAAACATATTTTATTTAATGACAATGATGATTGTTTAAATTAGATATTTAAAAATTTGTGGTAAATTAGGTCATTAAATATAATCAAGTTTATTTTCAATCGTTGATTACATAATATTAATAACAATACAATATTAATTCTTATAAGATCATCTTCCATACTGAAGAATTATTGAGTAAAATGACATCGTGACTGTTTAAAATATTTTAACAATCAATTTTGATTAAGCATCAGTTATAATTTTTAGAACCCATGCTTTTCTCCCATTCAAGTCAGGTGGTATTGGAATTCGGTCACCTATTAATATTACATTTGATGATTAAAGGCTTTCAACAAACTCGAAAATCACTGAGCTAGCCCCTTTAAATACTCAATATTAACCATTCAAAAGGTTTAGGATTAACCAAATTATGCAATTTTAAATTATGTTGTTCTGCTCAAAACTTTTAAAGTTTCATGTCTTTTACTTCATCTTAGATATTATGATAAAGAAATTTAAAAAAATTGTTACCAAGAAAACGCAAATATATTAAGAGGTATAAGCGATTTATACCCCCCCCCCTCCATATTAAGATTCTTACGTCATCAAACCATTTATTTTATATTATTGGATCCACAATTTTATAATTAATATTTAAAACTTAAAATCAGACACAAGAACCAAATTGTAAATCATTAATAGATTATGTCCAGTGATATATTATCTTACACATATAAATGCCATAAAACTGCGCTAACCATATCATTTACGAGCTCACGTGGAAGATCGTTATTAAAACATTTCAATACATCAACAATGGGACAGGAAAGATTAAAATAGTTGACTCTATTGATTATTTAAAAAAGGTATTATAAATAATATATATACAGATTTAACAAATAAATATGCGACAAGTTAACAATGAACATAGAGAAGGTATTTTGTCTGTAAAGCAATACATATTTATATACAATTTAGTTACATTCTTTAAATTATAAAATCGATACTTTTTTATATTAATTTTGTATTACTCAAATATTTATCTAATCTAGCTGTCGCAAATATTCGGATTATATTATATATTGTATACCTATAAAGAGTTCTTCCACCTAATAATAAATGTATATTTTGAATAATGTTAACTTAGCATAGATTACAAAATGTCTTGTATTGCAATACTTTAATTATTCATATATATTTTTTGTATTTATATTGGGACATGGGGAATCCCACAATTTTAATAATTTGCTGATAGCGATTTTTTAATCTGAAGAATCGGATATGACCGGAAATTCAATACAACTTCAGACAAGCTAGTTATTCTAAACAACATTTCCGGTCAAATTAGATTTTTTTAAATTTAAATAATGGCGCCCGGTATATGATCATAAAATTGAGATTCTGAATCTCCATAGCCTATGGGTAAGGTTTTTATAATTTTCATCCTTCAAATATTTGTTAAAAGCATCGGTCATCGATAATTCATTGATTAATGCAAAAATTTTAAAAATATTCCATCCATTAATCTGCCACTCGAATTTATAACTTATTCTATGTAATAATCGTTATGACAAGGGCTATAAACGTAAAAAAAACCATAAGGAAACTACAACATTTAACAATAGTTATACACAATTTGTTTTTAAAATATATATATTACAAAAATCATATTTTGATATAATAAATGATATAAGTTATTCATCCTTATTTATCGATATATTATACGAACCAGCGTTATGGTTAATTTCCTAAGAACAACATCACATTGTTGGGGCGGAAAAGGGTATTTGACAAATGTCGAAAAAGTTAGAGTCATCAAAGTTTTGTAACTCCGAGATTATTCTGCTCACAATCATCTCCGGTTTCTCCATGGCTCCCATACTGTCACAATGAGGATTTTGACATTGGACTCAAAACCTAAAATAAAAATAGAAAACATATATATATATAAAAAAGAAATTAATAATAATTATGAATCACGAAATCAATTTAATTCTTTATTCAAAATTATAACATTATCAAATTAACAAAATTATAAAAGTAAAAATAATATAAAAGATTAATAAAAATAAAATAAAAATAAAATACAAAAAAGTTAATAATTATAAAAGATCTTTTTGTATGGTAAAAATTGGCCTTTTTATACTCTTTTCAATCTTCTTTATAACTAATATTCATAACTATTCAAATATAATATTTTTATCACGCGTTATAATAATAAATCCAAAAGAATTCTTTATGCAAATTAAATATAAAGTACAAATTTAACGAATCTAAAACTTACAACACATACCTACATCTCCGCACATCAAAACTTTATCTATGGGCTGGATCTGTTTGAATCCAAATTCTTGAATCACCCCGCGAATTTGTTTGATCGTGATAGGATGCGTCCACATTTTTGTGTTCATAGCCGGGGCGAACAGAACTATTTTCTAGGGGAGTGCAGGAATATTAAGATTATTTTTTGTATAAAATAACAAAAGAAAAATGGTGAAATACAGCTGATTTCGATCATAATTAATATTCTAAAATCGATATAATATTTAAAACAAGTATTCATTAATATAGCCTTAAAAGGTTTGTGTATAGAAAATAATTTTGGAATAATATAGAAGAACTAAATTATATATATATATATGGAGAATTCCATATCAAATCAACCAAGGTTTCAACCCGACCCCCTTCAATTTTTCTTAAATTTTGTATACTAGTAGTATATACTATAACTAAGAAAAAAATGAAATTTTACTTTCCAACACTGTTTACCCACTAAGATATGGCCGTTTAAAGCGCGGAAAAATGGTACATTCATGACAAATGCACCTCATTTATTTTCAGATATCTCGAGAAATAATTAAGTTAGAAAAATAATTTAAATTTTATTTTGTAGCTTAATAAAAGTTCTTTAAAATGACGTAAAAATAATATAATAGACATTTGATTAATATCGAAAATCGGATATGTAAAACCGGAAATGCAAAATTTTTTTCTGTAGATAGATATCACACTGCTTTATATTTGTACAAAATCCTATGGGGATGTGGGTTTAGGAGTTCTATATATGGCTAAAATTGAACAAATTTAACAATAATATTATCATATTTTAATTTAATGAATAGTTATGAAATAATGTTAATTTAAAAATTATGTCTAAATGGCAGGCACTTACTTTTTTTTATCTTTATAAAAAAAATTTGAGAGGTGGCTGAGATATGCGCTGTTTAAAACTTTAGTTAAATTTTATCTCGAAATTAAAATTACTTGACAAAGAAATTTTAAATATTTTATTTAGCATAAAATAATCTACCAAAATTGAAATTCAACAATGATAGATTCGTCTAGTTTGATATTAAATTTAGTAATTCTCCTTCCTAGTAAATCATCCATGTCATAATTTTGTGTGTGTATCATTTATCGGCATATGCACAATATATATGAGATTTTTTCATATATCATTGTGAGTTATCATTCCTGGGCACCATGTTATATAGCAATAACGATGGTAAGAAAAACGGTTTTAAGTTATATTTATTTTATTCTAAAACTAAAAAATGATACTAAAAATAAATAATTATAAAAAACAATTTGAACGAAATATATTTTAAGGCTATAATAAAAATTTAAGTTAAATATAAAAATCAATCAATCAACCGTATTCAAATATTATTATATTCTTTTAATTTTTGATGCTTCAAATATTTTTTCTATATCGTATTTACAATACTTTCTTATTGTAATCTACAACTCATCATATATATAAAATAAACTCCCTATTGTCGTGATTGACTCCGTCAATCACGAGGAAGAAGACGAAAGCCAAAAATAAAAAAAAAATTATTTGTTTTCTTGGTTTCGTCGACTCATTATGATTATATTTTTTTTTCGTTAATAGTAAAAATGTTATGGGCTTATTTGGCAATGTTTATTTTTTTTTGTTGTAAAAATTGAATCTATTTATAAAAAGATTTTTTTAGGGCTTCCCTATAAAAGGGAAGCCAAAAATCGGATTTATTTCATTAAATAATTATTTTTTTTAGTTTATACTTTTCATTTTTAGATTCTATTTTAAAAATTTTATTTTAGAAATTATATTATAAAACTGAATTAAGTTTGAGTAAAAATTGTTGTTAACTATTTCTGAAGAGGTATAAAAGGATTTTCTAAGTTATTCGAAATAGTCGGTCACAACGTAATAGTTGGTGCCGTGACTAAACAGCAAAGGTAAAAACAATTGTTTTTTATAAATTATTTTTGGGAAATATTTTTGTGGAGCGCTGTGGTTGATGAGACCGTCAATTTGTGAAAACAAGAACCGTCAAGAGCAAGTACCGTCAGGAGCAAGTACCGTCAAGAGCAAGTACCTTCAGGAGCAAGTACCGTCAAGAGCAAGTACCGTCAAGAACAAGTACCGTCAGGGACAAGTACCGTGTTTAATAAGGGACCGTTTGAGTCAAGAGACTGTTAAGAACAAGTACCGTTAAAAGAGGTGACCGTTAAGTGAAAATTTTCAAGACGACGTAAAATACACGGAAGTGCTGCCCAAATTTTTGCCTATATAAATCTATTAGACGAAAATCCGAAAATTTACTAAAAAGGTAGAGTACACTGATGTGCTGCCAAAATTTTTGTCTATATAAATCTATTAGATGAAAATCCGAAAAAGTTTTTTAAAAGGCAAGTTACACGAAAGTGCTGCCAATTTTTTTCAAAAGACGTCAATACACGGAAGAGTTTAAGGATTCGCGGAAA